AAACAAACATGGAGACATACTGTCGTCGTCAGCTCTATCTGGTATACTCTTGCCTTTGTCTGATGTAATACTGTGACACTTAAAATCATTTACTGTAAAACAAACAAGGACATTAAAAAGAGCTGAAGCTGAAAAGGGAATATGAACCTTTCATCTGAATGCAGGTATACACACAAATGTTAGCTCCAACTTGTTGCCAGTTTGGTAACTGAATGTCATCTGCTTAATCCAGAATCCTTCAGCATGGATCTCAAAGCCTTAATGGAGAGTATTCCAAAAATTGAGCTGGGTATGTATCCTATTTAAACATTATATTGTGCCCTCTGATGCGCACAGTCCCGCAAATGAACAAACAGATTGCTAAACATTATGCACCAAGAGGTTTGATAATGACTGAATGAATGAATTAACTGAATGAAATTAACTGAATGAAATTAACTGAATGAAATTAATTTAATAGTCAGTGTTATATTATGAACATACAATTGAATAGCTGGTTATGCTGGTGCTTTTTCCATTAAAGACAAGTTATGCGTATGCTGTCAATTACAGATCTTAGAAAAAAAGAAAATTGGAATTGGCCAACATCAAAAAATTAGTAATCGTTATTGGCCAGGAAAAATGCAATCGGTGCACCTCTAGTAAAAACAAATGGTTTCACTTCCTCATTTATTTCTGATTTTCTGTATACTGTCCTCTCCTTTCAGCTATAACCTATGACTTTGTCCGGAGAGTTGGTCAGAAATACTTTGTGTCCTACAAGACTCTTTCTCCACGGCCATCGATTTCTGCTCCCAACGAGGCTTAGAGCTTGCTTTGCCCCAGAACGAGGAGGAGAACAGAGTGCTGACTCAGTTCTTTGGGGACGTTTACAAAACGGCCTGGATCAACGTCAGCAACAAAAAAGCAGAGGGGAATTTTGAGGCTGATATGGAAAAACCGACCTCTGACCTTTACCAAATAGAGAGAAGGGCAGCCAGACAAATCCATCCCGGATACAGGCTGCACCGTGTTGTCAGAAAACGGCATCTGGGGAGTGACACGTTAACGCTTCCTGAATGCTTACATCATTTGTCAGATATAGAAAATTCTGGTATCCCATGCAGTGTTTCCCATATGCGCCGCTGCTGGGTTATTATACATCTTGGGCTAATTAAACTAGCCTAACTTGCAGATCATGACTGAGCTATAATAGCTTCTTGACGCAAGTAGTTGGAAGACAATAAAATGGGTTTATGGTGTAATATTTACAAAACACAGGCCTACAGCTTTCCCTAACTTTAACAGTGTTTCCCAGATAGACTTTACTTGGGCTGGCTGCCCAGGTATATTAAGATATTAAGACAAGACGCTGCCACAATGAATATTTTATTTTATGAACAGTGAACATACCAGTGGAAATGTGATTCGGCATCATGTTGGTTTCGATAGGCTTTGTCGTTAACAAGCCCCCTCCACAGGCGGAGCACTTGCCGATGAAAACGAAGTCACTGGTGGAAAATCCAAAAGACGAGTTCTATGTCAGAGAGAAATAGAAAGGGGAAAGGCAAGCTGGTGTGTTTGCAGCAAAGTGTAGAGGTGTGTGTGTGGGGAAAAGAGAACTGATTGGAAATTGAGCAGATTCAAGTAGTAGGTAAACACTAAAATAAGGTGGAGAAGGAAGTAGAATTAAAATGCTGAAATAAAAATGAACCTACTAGAAAGAGAAATATACCCCGCTAACACCCTCCCCCGTTTTATTGGAAACACGTTTTCTTGGGGTAGGAATAACCCCCACCAACAACCAAATTTGTTTGCAATGTGTGATACATGATGTGTTGGTGTTTTATATCAAGATATGAAACAGGGCACGCTTAGAGAGCGCACAAAAAATTGTTCACTTAAACTCCGCTGCTACAACTCCATCCTAGGGGAAAACACTGCCATGTAAGGCTTACTGTTATGCAAAGTTTTATTTATATATATATATATATATATATATATTCCTTTATAACATAATTTTGATTACTATACATGACTATGGTGTAGGAACTTTTTAAAAGCAGTGTTTTGAAAACATGACACAATAAAGCATACAGCAGTGATATAGTCTCATTTTATTCGTTCATTTATTTTATTTTGAAGGAAAATACCTAATGTTGTTTTCTGGATAGTCTTCACAGAAAGAACAGTTTATTGATGTCTCTTTTTAATTTAACCATGTAATGATTACACTATCTGTGTATCATTGTAAATGACAGGCTACTTCCTTCACCTTGTTTGCAATCAGGTATTTGTGGGGAATCATCCAAACTTATTTTCCAGTAAATGTCAATTCAGTTCCAATATGATAAAGCATGGGGAACAGAGACAATTTCTTTGTTTGTCATTTTACAACTGGTGATTCAGCCACACTGGGGAGACTGACGGAAGCAGGTGAAGCTCTGCCTGTTTTTCAAAAGCGTTGTGATTGCCTGATGGAATGGCGTCATACTACTGCACACGCGTAACTGAATAAAACAGGTATTGTTAATGCAGCGTGGAGCAACGTGAGAAAGTCATAGCAAGAGCCTTCGATTCGCGATCAGCCGTGCATCCTGCCCGATCGGTACTGCGCATGTGCAATTTTCAACAGAGGCTCACGGGTAATCTTAAGCAGTTTCAGGAAAATAACTGTTTTTTTTCAGAGTGTTATTGATTTAGTTGCTTTTTAAGCAAGTTTTAACGTCTTCTGGATGCAGTTTGATGAAGTAGGCTAAAGACATGCGGTTTGGGGCAAGCCGGGGATCGAACCGCCGACCTGCAAAACCCATCTGTTAGCCACTGCCTCCCGTTAAAATAGTGTAAAACATTACTTGTTGCTTTCTTTTTAATGTAGCTAAGCCTCTATCTGTGTACTAAATCATAGCATATACAATTTCACTTTAAATAACGTTTTTATAGTCCTCTGTAAGAGGGTCGTGTCCAGCAGCAGAGTGGCGCAGCGGAAGCGTGCTGGGCCCATAACCCAGAGGTCGATGGATCGAAACCATCCTCTGCTAAGCTTAGTTTTTTCCAGCTAAATGGGAAAACGTCTACAGACTGTTTGGCTACATACACGGAAGTTAACATAAATTGAGGGTGCATAATAGGTTCATAGGTTTATATATACATCCGTGCAAAACCTAAAAAACCTTTTCAAATGACTTTAAACACCCAATAAAGATACTAAAGCACACAAACATGATCAGTTGGTTTTCGATTAAATATTTTTCAATTTTGTAGCCTATTAATGACATGTATTTAAGGTGTCACTGTGGCACTCCAAAGACAGTAGTGTCAGTTCACTGCTAAAATTTAAATGATTTATTATTATTATACTATTATTCTCTCTTTACATTTAACCTGAACAGCTGGCCCATTTCAACTGGACATTGTAAAAATAGGTCAAGAGGGAACCTGCTGAGACTTTAACTCTCATAATTCCAATACAATTATGCTTTTTCATATGCCAGATTATAAAAATATCATTAGATCTCGGGCATACCTTATTTGATGGTCATATAAAGTCATGTAACAAAAGGTGGCCCATTTTAGCTGACTCCACCCTACATTTTTAAGTTTGAAATCACTTAACACTCGAAGCTGCAGCACTTTGCTGGTTCTATTTTTTTATTTACCATTATTTGTTTGTATTATCTGTAGCTGTTAGTGTCTGCATCATCACAGATTTGCTGATAATGAGAATAGAAATCGGCGATTAAGATAACTTTGGATGCCGACGGCACTGTAAGGCATATTTTTATACTTCTACAAGAGGCCAGCAGAGGGCAGTGTCGTTCCACATTTCAACATTTGAATCTCTCCAACAACTACGCTAATTCTAAACTTTAGATAATTATTCCATTACTCTTCCATTATGTCTTTAAATGTTTTATGTCTTTTGTTTTCTGCCATGAAATGATGCATCTCATTATGCCCTCTGGATATCAAATCAAAACATCCCCAAACCAACAGTAGACTGGATGTTTTAGGAAAGTCCAATGTAAGTAACTGAGTGAAATTATTGTTCTTACAAATATAATACTGAGCCAATCCTGCTAAAAAGACAATAACATTAATCCTGTTGTCTTACACTCAGCCCTCTCAGTTATTTGTTATAGCAGTCAACATATTCATTTTCTTCCAGAGATGCTGCCTGGTGCCTAAACTAGGGCTGCCACAAATAAATGATTTTCATCATCATATTTCTTTTTATTCATTCATTCATTGATTAGTTGTGCATTTTGTCTATGAAATGTCAGAAAGAAGACTAGCATTGTCAATTCCCAGAGCTCAATAGGAGGCCTTGCTTGTTTTGCAGTCTAAAACACAAAGATATTCTGTTTACTATCATATATAACAATGACAGGCAGCAAATTATCAAATTTGAGTAGCAGGATCCAGAGATTCTTTGGCTTGGTTTTGGCAACTGAAACAATAAATTAACAAAAGCTGGGAATTCACTTTCGTGTCTTGATCAACTAGCCTAATCTTTGCGATTTTAGCTTAAATAAAAACCATGTTAAGGCTGGAGGAAACCTAAATAGATTGTCATACACACATCACAGACTTGTCCCTCAAGGCCTCTGGCAGACTCCGAACTGAACTGAACTCCGCCTCAACACCTTCAAGGCTTTTGAACAGCATGACCCTGTCTCTACTGTCCTCTGCTACCACCACCCAACTCTACCACCTGACCCACACCACTAGGACCTCTAAGACAGCTGAGGTGATGCGTACTGTGGTGGAAGAGACTTTGCACTGCTCTCATGCATCTATTATTTATAGTCTCTGTCTTCTCTCTCATACAGCTTTCTGCCTCTCTGTATCTCTATTTCAGTCTCTCTCAGGCCTGACCACATAATGACAGACCTGCTGTATATTAAAAGGACCCTGCCCATGCATCCTATCCCTGTCACCTCCCTCTTCGTGGGCCTTTATAAGCCTCTCACATGGGCGGGGGGGCACTACTTTCCTAAGAGGAACTGTGCACAGACATCTGGAAGGCTTGCTAGTTCCTAAAGCCACCTATTCACCCACAGCCAGGGATCTCCTGTCTAATCGCTAACCATGGATAACCATTCATACAACTTCCCCTCAGACTGCACCCCACTCACCAACTGTAAGTCTGCCCGTAAGCCGGCTGGATCCACCGTCGTGAACATGGGCAATGCTGGCAAGAATCCTCCCCGGGACTATCTAGTCTGGTCATTGTGCAACACCTTGTACGTTAACTTCTGCTGCCTGGGCTTCATGGCTCTCATCTACTCCATCAAGGTGAGATCTTGTGCTCTTTTTAAAAAAATTTTGGTCGGTTTGGGCCTTTTCATGAACATCTAAGAATTTTACTGAGGAGTCAAAAGTGAGAAGTTAGGATGAGGCTGAAGTGTTTTAAGTTTAGGAGATGTCCAAGCAAGAGGGGAAAAAATCAAATTAGTTAACAATATGCATTATAACATCAGACCTGCTACAAATATCTAAAATGATAATAATGAAGCATTCTGTAGAGCAAGTTTGGCAGAAATAACACATAAGGTGGGCTGGGCTGCTACGGAAAGCTTTAAAACAATGGGTAATGTTGTGGCAAATGCCACACTGGGAAATGAAGCCCAAAGGAATGCCAGCACTACAATGTCATTTCTAAAGGAACAAGGCCAAGCCATTACTTCTCAAAGTAAGGAAAATATGGCATGGCTGGATTGCCAGACTTGTGCAATAGGTAGAGTGATGCCCTGAAAACAAGGGTAAATATGTTCCCCATGTAAACTCTCTGGTAGGAAAATATTTGTTGTTAAATGGAAAAAAGAAATATATTTCAAATATTATAGAGACCTATTTGTATCACTGTTCAGATGGCACACACAGTAGAAAGTTGGAGTGCCCTATACCACAGGAATGGGGCTGAGGAGAAACAGGGACATAAACCAAAACAAAAGCTTTTCTCACTAAAAGAAAACTCAACTGTCCATGAAAATGCCATGTGTAAAGCTGGATAGGACAAACTGTGTGACTACCTGAATAAAAACGTTTCTGTAAAACTCAAAGCAAACACACCCTTTATTTAAGTCTTTTTTTTTTTTTATCTTTCATCTGTCTGCATAGGGTGCAGCTCTGAATCACAGAGTATTGGCTCAGCGCTCAAATTAAAGACAGTGACTGGCTGCTTGTCTGGGGAGTTAAAAATGGCGTAATTGGCATCTTCCTAATGGGCAAGTACTCATGGGAAATTAGAGAGTGCTAGGGCAGGACTCAACTTGGCCCTTTCCAAATAAACGGATTCACTTAGAAGCAGCTCAAGGATTTCATATCACTCAGCCCTTACACAGCCTTGAATCTGCGCTGTGTGGAAAAACTGGGAATTATGGGACAAGCCGTGATGAACTAGTTGTAAACAGCAACACATTATAATCTGCCTTTGTTTGTCTTCCTCCTCTCACTATTTACAGTATGCATGGGTGTAGACACTAAGCATTTGTATTCTTTACGTGCAATAATTGTCTTTAGAAATATTTAGCTGGGTCATGCAGTAGAGACAAAGCTTTTATGCATTTAACTGTCTTGAAGCCATTATGAAACATAGTGATTCTTCATTTCTGTAATTTCATGCAATAACGTGAGTGTTTGTTTATGCAACTGTGTAGGCAAGGGACCAGAAGACTCAGGGCAACCTGCAGCTGGCCCAGGAGTGTTCAGACAAGGCCAAGTGGTACAACATCCTGGCAGCTGGCTGGAACCTACTGATTCCACTTCTGGCCGTCGTCCTGCTCGTCCTCCTGCTCATCCACCTTGGCACATCCCAGGGCTCCTTTGACTTCTTTGGAGAGGACGGTTTCCAAAACTTCGTGAAACTGTTTAGCTGGTAGATTGAGTCGAAGGGAGAGAAATAAAAAAAAAAAAACAGTTAGTCTCAAAGTCAACTAAGAATTTTAGCTAGTCTAACCCAAGCAATAAAGGTGGACTTGCTAAAATCTGCTCAGCACTTAAATGATCCAAATTGGTGAGAAAGAAAAGTAAGCCATGGTTTGTCTATTACAAGAATATCCTTGTTGGGATGCATCATTACTAATGCTGATATCAGATTTTCGACCAATAAAACACTAAAATGTGACACCCAACCAGTATCTGATAGTTACATATAAAACATAATACTTTTGGACCAGCAATGTCAAACTAATGATGAAAGTTTAGTTTTTAAAAAATTGTATAGAAAGTATTGGTGCATCCCTAATTATAATGCCAGTATTAGAGGGACCTCAGCTTACACCTGCCAGTCTCCCAGACAGTCAGTAGAGATGTGAAGCTGATCAAAGACTGAACAGCCTTAAATGGAAAAAGAGGGGAACAAACAGAGTTAAGAAGGACTGAATCCAGGCTGAGAGATTGAGCAAGCAGCTACTCTGGGTCAATTATATTGTTATTTATTGTATTTATGTGTTGATGACAGGTGGAAATATCTCTAGGCAGGGTAGAAAGAGGAGAAAGAGCAGAGAGAACAGAGGACTGCGGAGCCAAAGTCTAATTGTCACAATGATGAGAAGCCACTTGACAAAGGACAATCAACATTCACTCCCATTGATAGTCACATTTTTCTTCTTTCAGCAGTTTATCTGTTACAGCATACATACATTTTTGGTGATTATTCATGTTTTTTATTAGCATATTGCTGTGTTAAGTATTTTAGTGTTACATCATCTTATTGCTGACCTCTTGTGATTGAGTAAGATTAATAAAATTTACCAGATATTGTTAACTCAGTATTGTATTGAAAAACAAACCAGCCTTCATTTTCTGATTATAATGCTTTTACTTGCTTTATCAAAAATCTACTAACAATTTGCAGGTCTTTTTCAGATCCCCCCTTAGCTAATGAACACAGAGGTGAAGAGATGTTCGTTCAAATGGCTCTTGAGGTTCTTCTGCAGCACCTACACCCAGTTTTACTGTGATAATTTAGGGCTCCATAGGTTTGATTGTGGGTCGTGTCCGAGGGAACAGGCAAGGCATGGTTGTTTTCATCCCAGCTGTGAGCCTGCTGCTGTACCATCTATATACAGAACATCCCGTTTTAGGAAACTGTAAAAATGTGCCGTCCAGGCAGACCACTACAGAGGAGTCAGCAGCAATGTGGAGACTTGTTGCGAAACGAGAGGGCTTATTACCATGCAATCTGCTTTCAGTCTGAAGAGGTATTACAGATTAAATGATGGATGTTTTGGGAAAGACTTGCCTTTTTTTATTAGCCCATTGGTGGCTGTTTAGTAACCCAGGAAACAGCTGAGGCAATGAATGGATATTTTAACCTGTTCTGCTAAGCATTTGCAACACCGCTTAATCCTACTTTTACGATCAACATCATAGATGATAGACCAGATATTGCATAAAATAATGAACCAGACAAGAAGTTTTTCATTTGATGTAATGCTACACTGAAAAGAATTGCTTATGTTTTATTAGATGAACAAGTAGATACAGAAACAACATTAAATGATAAATGCGGGTTTGAAACAGAGCTCCAAAAATGTTCCTCCCAAAATTTAGTCATTAGTTTCTTGTTATACAGTATGCAGTGATAAATGCATGTGTTGGGTAAAGATGCAAATCAGGGACGATGTGAGAGAGAGATCAGAGATGAATCAAAGTTATACATGTACATGGTATCTGGAATACACCCACTGTGATGCCCTTGAGCAATTCAGGGACTAAATCTGAATGTCCTACAGAAAACCCACAGAGGCTCCATTAGTCCGCCTGCTCCTCACCCCTCGTCTTTGATGACTTGGGTGTCCTGCTCCTCCCGACCTCCCACCCTCTGGACTCCCATCATATTAGCAGCCTCTCCTTTGCTTGCAACTTTATTTATGCACACCCAAATCACAGCTTCTAGCTTCCAACTTTCTATTTTCCTCCTGTGGTGAGGGAGAAATGCTTACAGATGTCTGAGCCGTGGAGAATTACAGGCTAGGATCCGGCACTGCAGAGGGAGGGGGCGCTAACTTTTTGGGAGCTGTTTCACTACAGCTGAGGCCTGGGGTAGCAGGAGGAAGAAAGGACACATACTCTTGTTCTATTGTGTGAGTCAGGTTCAACAAGTGCTTCTTACAGTCAAACCTTAACCATAACAGTCACACTTAACTTTTACCCTTACCTAAACTTAATCATGAAATCAAAGTGATTAGGCAGTTAGTTCACTTTTGGTCAAACTCAAGCCAAGCACAATGCAAAATGCATATGTATATTGATGTGTAATCATTCATATGTTTCAGGGATTTGAGCATAAATGTAAATGAATGTAAAACCCCACAGGTCATCTGCTCAGACACACAGTTTCCAAAAGAAACAAAATACTTTCTGTCATGAAGATATGACTTGAACCACTTAAGGACAGTCCCAGAGAGCACCACGCAATTTTCTGATCTATGTAATAGAATTGTAGAATTGCTATGATTGGGCCAAAATCCTGATTGAAAATTATCAATGACTTTACCTAAAAACAGTAGGTGTGACAAAACCTCTAGGAACTGGTAAGTATGACCTTCAAGCTGCATTGTCATGGCTAAACTAGTCCCACGATAGCTCTTTAGGGAATAGCAGCCACAGGCACCATGATGGCTCTTGGGGACTAATTATTTCCTCAATAAAAACATCCAGGAGGACAACTCTACAAGCATCCATATTGTTGGTATAGCATTTGTAATTAGGCATTAAATATGATTTTCAAATCATTACTGAGAAGGTTGAAAATGTTTTGTATCATTACATAAATTATATATAATATTATATTTATAGTGCCTTATGAAAAGGGAATACATGAACTAAATTAGGGTGTGGGACTTTCAAATATAAATGAACTTCATTGAAGCCACATTAAATCCCTTGCCCAATGAGTTCACACAATGCTGATTAAGAATATCACCGCCAGGCAAATCTCTCTTTATTCCCAGTATACCAGAGTTTTTAAATCTGGTGTCTGTGGTGATGTTCCCACACTGACACAAATGTAGTGATGTGTTTTATGCCAGACAGTAATGGTTGCTTTGCCAAAGCTGAAGGCGGAGCAATTGTAGTGACAGCACAAACTCAGCATGGCAGAGCCTAAACTTTACTACTAACCTTATGTAGACAGATTTGTATAAATACTCTCAATGTCAAAAGGGGGAGACAAAAGTTCTGCACTGCAGGTTTAAGTCTAAGTTAAGACATTATCAAAAACATCTTAACACTCTATTACAAAAACACTTCGCATCGCATCTTTTTTAGAGCTTAATGTACAAACTGTTCCATAACCAGTTAAAGTATTTTGTAAACTGCAGAGAAAAGGGATTTCAAGGTGTCTTAAGTAACTCATTATCTACTTTCTTTCAGATAAAATGCAGGAGGACAAACATATATAAGATGAGCAAGGGCGTCACTTTGTGTTGAAAAGTGGTGGGGACATAAAGCCTCACATTAGGGGCGGGATGATACAAGTGTGTGATGTTTTTTTTAGCTTAAGTTACTTTTTTGGACAATGCACATTTGTTTCTTAAATTGCATAGCATTTTTTCTTATTGTGCAAATAAACTTTTCTCAAAGCCTTTTCATTTGTTAGTTAACATTTATCGGTGCAAGCTATTTTTCAGATTTTTAACAAATGCTTTCAAAAAGTGATGGGGTCAAAATCAGCCATTTCAAAATGTGGTGGGCATATATCCCCAGCATCGCCAGTGTAAATGACACCTATGAAATTGAGTACGAAGACAGTGGCACTTTTGTGCGAAATGTGAGCTCACCCAAGACTACCAAAATCTGAGATTTATTATGATTGTACTATTGTGTTCCTACCACGTGAACAGAATGTCCCTATAGAAAACCACTCACCTCTTATTCAGTTGAATTGCCACACTTCCAAGTCCAGTGAGTGCCTGACCCCTTGTGGCCTGCTGGACTTCAGAAAAAGGCACCAGCACTGATCTAAAGGACTTGTCTTAGACTTTGACTTGAAAACAACCACAACATGCTAAATGGGTATTATGTAATCCAATGAAAAAAATCACTACAAATTACAGGCTAAAAATTTGACTTTGTACACAATGTGTAGCTCATGTTCTCAGTCCCTCTATTCAACCACCAAAGCATAGCATTAGTTCAGGCAGGCAACGAAGTCAAGCTCAGCTCAATCCAGCGTATCAGCTGATAGCAGCCATCTTCAGCAGTACATCAGCTGATCCCTCTAATTCATTGGCAAATTCCATACAAGGCACCCATTTAAGCTGCCATAGCCTACCTGCCTACCCTCGCTGCTTCCTATGCAAAAAGCTCATAAGCAACCGACATGAACTCTGCAGCCTTGGAGTCCTGTTCGGCACTCGCCCAAAGTTAAATTTTCCTGGCACAGCTGGCTGTTTTGTTTTTCCATCTCACGGCGCAGGCCAGCGATGCCGATTGGTGACATCACTCCAGCGGCATCGATGGCATCACCCCTTTTTATATACAGTCTATGCATCACCCTTACGTGGATCACTGGGACATGCAGTCCAGTTCCTCTGGGGAGAGGTTCCATTCGTTCCTCTGCTGCCCAATATTTCCCTGAGCTGGGGAAGGCTCTGGGAAAGCATCCCCACTGCTCTTGTTATTATATGATTGGTTCAGGGGCTAATAGCTGGCCTGAACTGGTTGCCATGTGTCATTTATTTGCAATAATTTAAAGTCACATCACCTTAACCATAACATAGTTAGCTAGCTAGACCGTCATCGCGGTCTGTCTGAGAGGCCCTTAAGAACAATTATACATACATACAACACATACATAAACAAACAATAAATGTAAATATTTAAGGGGCTAACCACACAGCTTACTGTGAAATTAGTACATGTCTAATCCTGCGGCATTTTCAAGACAAAGGCCACAAGATAAATCAAGTGGCCCAACTTATGCAGCTGGAGAGATGCAACTTGGAACTGGTCATGGCTTTCCACGTAGGCATGTGTATGGGCAGGGAGATCCCAGAAGAGAGCCATACCACCAAATATAACTACATGCCGCAATATCAGTCTTTGATGAAAGTTGTCCTGACTGACCGGCTGTTTGCATTGCTCTCTGTCCCTGTCTTTGGCTCCTCAGACTTGCCGACTTGACTTCTTCAAGCTCTCCGCCTAAAACCCTTGGACCCTTCTTTCTATCAACTGACTGCCACATCCAACTACACAGGTGTTGCCACTTCCCTCATCAGCCCTGCAGTTACTTGGATTTGACCTGACTTTGCTGGCCAGCTCCCCTGAGATACAGCTGCGTCTTTCATCTGCCCTTGGGTCAATTGTCCCCTGCAAACCCACCATGACAACATGTAGTAGTTACTTGTAAGGTTACATAATTTTTCATGAGAAAGAAATTCATTTTAAGCCACAAGTCATAAATTATGAAGAAATCAAATAAGTGCCCAATGAAATCACCTTAATGAACCATTCAGCATCTGAGAGGTTATTTGTGAAGCATGAATGAAATATTTACGATCTAAGACTAAATTATCTTAAGTAGCCTAATAGGATTTAACATCAGCCTCAAAGTCAAGCTTGGTTCAAACCTATTTTGCTTTACATAAAGTATAGCTACAGAACATTTAATCAGTTTTCAGGAATGATTTTTCTCATGTTCTGCAGCCAGCATCTCTTCTTAAGGGTATGTAGCCTATATATCTGTTTACACTTGATTCACTTGTAAAGGGGTCCTGTGTATGATGCAGTTATTCTGCAAAATACTTAGGAGCATCAAGGAAGCTCCCTGGATGACTTTTTTTAGACTAATGTTTGAGAGGAAGCAGGCTGTGTCACATTACAAAGAAATATTTTTCAGTTAGTCTGTTAACTCATTATTTTAATGTTTTATATAAATTATAGCCTTACATTATTTAGAAATGTCTAATTTATGCAGTTGCACAACATCCCAAAGATGAGGGAAAAAAGTGGAGCATTCCTTTTACAGGAATATTATACAAATATTATAAAATAAACTGAGTATCATGAATGATCTACAGCAGAATTATATTTTTTTAAGGGGGCATTACAGTAGAACATGTGTTATAGGTTATCATGTCAAACAGTGAAGCAACAAAAGGCTACATTTACATATTGCCCTATGAACTTGCAGAGCCAGAACAAGCCTCTCCTCCAACACGCCCACAGAGGTACAGACACCAAGGATACCTGATGTATTTGTCAACACCGGGGAGTTTCCAAACACTGCTGGACTTGAAGAGCAAGCTGGTATAGTCTCTGTAGATCATACCGGCAGAACATCAGCACCAAGAGCCGAGAGCGACAAACCATCAGCCTGAAGGAGCAACAAACAGGACAGTCAACATGAGCAGGTAAGTACCACTTAAAGGGGATAAAGGACAATCGAGTCAATAAGCGTGTGAACGAGCTACCTGGTATGACAGGCTATACTGAAACAAAAAACGTTTCTTGTTGATATGAATGCTGTAACTAAGTAAAACAAGTAGCCTATCAGTAGCCTACTTAATAATTAATAAGTACATCTGCGCTTTACTCAGTGGTGAAAAGAGAACTCCAAATCTTTACTCATGTAAACACACCCTACAATTATACTCCCACACAGTTATTATTCAAGTAAAAAAAAAATTACCATTTGACAAACCTACTCAAGTAAAAGTGTAAAAGTACTTGGTCAATGAACTCCTTTAAGATCAAGTTACTTACTGTTTTAATATTGCTTAGTGTGTACTGACCAGAGCAAGTTATTTTATGAAAATCCAAGCCAATTCCCTAGTATTTGGTTAAGTCAAGTAACAAAGTCAGTTTTTGCAATAATAAGTGTTTAATCCGTTTGGCATCTGGTTAGAAATAGCCACTGTGCAGCATGGTCATTTCTAGGAAATGTACTTTGCTTTTGCAAGTTGATTATCTCAAATTTAGCTATTTATGTTTAACACAGTTATTTTACTTATTATTTTATCTAGGCTATATAAAGGTAGCAATAAGATCACTTTAAAATATCATACTTGCTTGCTGCCTAGATTACTGTTGTTGCCTGCATCTGTTGTTATCTTGAGATGAACATGAAGCCAGCCAAACCATTTGCTTTGATTTAAAGGGCGTTGCTTACGAATTGCCTTCACCAATAGCACATGCACTCAATACACTATGATTATACCTAACACATCTACGAACATACATAATAGTTGTGGCAATAGTCATGAGGGAGAGCTGTCCGTTACGCGTAAAGCCCAACGACTTTTTTTTTTATCCGTCCACATTTACTCACTCTCCCTTCAAGAGTTCAAGTGTTAAATAACAACCGGTAGCCTACTTAGTGAAAGAAAAGATTCGTTTCACCGGCGACATTCTGTTTAATGAATTCACCGTCAGTAATCGCTATGTAACAAATTAGCTTATGAAAAGTGAAAGTAATGCTGCCGGCTTGTAAAGGGTGATGCAGACTGCTTTCCAACACGGCCATCAGTGGGATGCGGTGCAGTTGTTGTATTTGTGTTAGAAGTACCAAACTTTAAATTTTAAACGTTTTTGCTTCTGCCCGGCTCATTAATCTCGGACCATAGACATAAAAATGGACGTAGTGACCGTGACGTCACTCGTTGGTTCCTGAAGAGCCGTTTTCAAGCTCAAAATCATAGACATATAAAAAAGTTTCAGACACACGCGCAAGCTTGGATGGCAGCTAATTTCTGTTAATGTAGCAAAATGCATAACAGACTAGGTATGAGTGGCAAATGTAGCGAGGTTGAAGGCAGATTGTCAAGTAAAGAGTAGACCACCAGTTGTTATTTATTCAGGAAACAATAATTTTTGAGAAGGACCAGAGTACATATTGGTGGATAAAAAAGTCCTGTTGGGCTTTAAACATAATGCACAGGTCTCCCTCTATATATATAGCCTTACTCTACTTCATTCAACAATAGACTGCTCCCATGTTATTGCCACAACTGTCCTTAAGTTGAAAAGACCAAAGCAAGTGGTTTGGTTTGCTGCATGTCCATATCAAGATAACAACAGATAGCCTACAGAGAACAGTAGCAGGCTGGGTAGCCAGGATGATCTTATCATACCTTCATGTAGATAAAAACAATTATTTTACTTATTATTGTATCAAAAAGAAATTAGAGATAACATGCAAAGCAAAGTGTATTACCTAAAAAATAACCATGTTACACAGTGTCTATTTCTAACCTGATGCACAGCGGATGTAACACTTGTTATTCCAAAAAAAAAAAAAACTTGACTTAGACCCCTGATCAAAGACATTGACTTGGAGGGTTGCACATAGATCATAGTCAAGATCTTACAGATTTTGGTCAGAATGTATGAGTCACTTGTCTCACAGTCAGATGCACTTGCGAGAAACTATAACCAGATACTGTAACAGCAAGTTGGATAGTAGATCCTTTAGTTTGAGAAATTGCTTTAGTTTTAGTTAAGCAATGGAAATGGGATTAATCATTTAATAAACACCCAGACATGACTCTCTGGGATGCAGAAGATTCAAAGACTTGCATCAGTTGTTTGTTTTTGAGCAAAGCTGTTTGTACAGAACACAGTGTTATTTTACAGAGGAACTTGGAATGATCCAGTCACCAGGGAAAGGCAGCCAACAGCCTACATCTGGACACAACCATGGTTACTTTGACATTTACTGTACCTTCTCGAACCACTAAATACCTCAAAATACAAAGAAGAAAACAAGAGATAATAATGCGTTTAGCATTGCAAACTAGAAAACACCCAGACACCTGATCATGATAGGTGTGTCCTGTTCAGTCACTGTTAATAAAACTATTTGATGATTAATGTGGTTCTTTTTGTTGTCAAGGTATGTTTTTTCACAGAGAGTCATAACATTTAATTATCAACTTCTGAATTTTTAAACATTTTATAGTTAACTATTTTTGGAGGAGCTGAAAGATGTATAACTTAATCATGAATTAAACTTTTTAACTTGTCTCATAAGTGAAATTGAATTTACAGTGAAACAAGTAAGTAAGTACAAGTAAAAAGCCAACTGTTAAACTGTTGTTGGTTTTCACATGCCATAATCCTAAACCCCTCACAGAAAATAACATCTAAACACTGTTCTTTATTATTAGTCTTACCTTGTTATACTTTTTAGATGAACATCTGAAACTGTATTTTGTCATCGAAATCTGTGCTCAAAAGTTGTTGTTTGGTGGAGTAACTATCTGTCTATCTAACTATCAAATCCTTAAACACCTTTAATATCAGCAGGTTTTCTTCCATATAACAATGCATGCAACAACAAGCTTTACTCTGCCACAGTGGTGATTTTGAATCTTTTGCAGATTAAGGGACGTTTTTTGTTTAGGTATCTGCAAAATACTGTGTAATTATTGCAGTTTTCATAACTGTGAAGGAAACTGAGACAGTGATGCCACTGTTTATAGCGTGACACACTGTGGAGAAAGAAAAACAATTTTGCCATTTGGTACGTGACGTCTTGCCAGTTCTTGTATTCACACAGCTCAGCATTGCTTTTCTAGACCAGAAATGTTGCACTTTTGTTCTCAGTGGTTCTACCATCGGATTAGTTCGGCTAAACTCATTTGCAGTAACAATTTAAAAGTTAATACGCCGGAGCTTTATTGTTGTGACCTACATCACCTATGTGGTCACAGGTTGTGCAATCACTGTTGCAAAGATGGACTTCAGCCTTTGAAGTAACATGATGCATTCTGTCAAATCCTCTAAAATACAGGGAAAACTGGGTTCCTCCTGAACTTTGGTGGAGGACATTATTGGGCAGCAGTGCAATAGGTTTGGATGACCTTTGCTTTTTAGGTAAAACGTCAAACTGTCTGTTCTGTTATTGTAATCAACATTTGTATAAGAAACAGAGCATCAGCCAAAAAACTATTGTGTTGATTTAATAGATTTTTTTTTCTGGCTCTGAGTTGTCAACGTCAAACCTACTTTGCAACTCTATTAGGACATAAGAATTTAACAAACAGCAAAACAGACCTTAGCCATGGAAGGTGACTGCATTTTGTCACACTCAGTAACAAGCTAAAACATACATTTTCTTCACTATTTTAATATGTTACTGCACTGTGGTCATAAAGTGAATCCAAATAAAATTTATTTACAAAACACAGACATCTCAAACCTCAGGGTAATTATTTGTTTCCAAGTCATATTATTTAAAATGAGCATTATCATATTGTTTTGATATTCCTAAACTTCAGTATACAAAATCACACATTAATAAGAATCTTTGGTATTTTAAAACGTACAGTGACACCACCTTATACTGCTGGAAAAACAAATGCATATTTGAGGATATAATCATCACATTTTAAACCTTTACTCTTTGCAGATGTCTGATAAGCAAGGCGGAGGTGCAAGGCTTCATCGAGAGGTGCATGACAGCAGTGGGCACCAAGCCACATCATGCCCACAGCCTGGCTGAGGTGCTGGTAGAGGGGGACCACAGGGGCCACTACAGCCATGGACTCAACAGGATGGGTCAGTGGGCCACTGGAGGTTTTTCAGTTTATCTGCATGTTTGATTTAAAGGCGGTGGAACAATTGTGTTGGTAAAGAAGAAATTCAATTATTTGTGTATGTTGTCCTTTTAAAATTTTTTCATCAGTTAAATGTTGTTCACTATTATGTATTCCAGGAATGTATCTGAAAAAGATTTGTCAGTCAGGGGTATATACAGGGGTATCTCCACTTTCTACTAATTCACATATTTTCATCAGCTAGCATATAACTCCTTGATTTTGTTTTGTGTCTGTCTTTAAATAAGGTTGTTGTTTGTGCTCACTGTCTCCATACTTTTCAATAGACATGTATGTAAAGGACATCCAGACAGGAATCTGTGCCAAAGACGGTGAGCCGGTGGTGGAGAAGGAGAGTGCAGCCACAGCACTGGTGGATGGGAAGAACCTCCTGGGTCCTGTGGTGGGAAACTTCTGCATGAATCTGGCCATTAAGAAGGCCAAAGAAGCTGGCATTGGCTGGGTGGTAGCACACGGTGAGTCCAATATTTTTAAAACCCCAAAGGAATGGTTGGAATGCAGCTATACAGGCCTTCAGGACATCTGTCAACACAAATGTACGCATCTATTTTCCTGTCAGTCAGCATGTCAGACACAGTTGGCCTTCATATCTGCATATTCATACTTTGCTGCAGTCTTGAAAAAAATCATATGCCAGAGTTAAAAGTCCAACAATGGCTTCAACCTAACCTACTTATTTTATATATTTTATTAACTTTTAACTGATCCAGTTACTGTATTTTAGGTGAATGATTTAAAAATGTGAAAGGCCACAACTGCT